CAACAATGTGCCCACACCCTGGCCTCTCCTGGCTCATCTCTCCTCAGTGGCACAAGCTCACGCAGGTAACCAGCACCACCTTTGAGGCCCTGGGACGAGCGGAAGACAAAACTCCCGTGTCTCAGAAAAGGTCCCCGAAGCCACTGCCAACATGGGGCCTCAGGGTGAGAGGTCGAAGCATCAGGGACCCTCCTGGGTCTGGGTCTCAGTTCAGCCTTAACCTCTTCACCTGTCTCTACCCACAACCTCGACAGGATTTAAAACAAGGCCTTGAGCCAGGCACATGGCAAACACCTGTAGCCCCAGAACTTGGGAGCTGAGAGGGGAGGACCTCTGGCCCAGCAGTCCCGGCTAGCCTGCCAATACCACAGACAAAATCAAAACGTAAACTCACATCAAGTCAGGATAAGAAGCCCTGGCACAGCTGCCGCACTGAGGGTGCACCATGAGTTAAGGCTCAGGGACCCCCCACTTCCTTGACCTCAGTGGCACCACTACTCCTGTTCATAGGTGAGGAAACCAAGTCTCAGAAAGTCGCCCAGAGACAGCCAAGTCTCGGCAGTGGGGAACACACAAACAGGAGGTCATTGTTGTGGCCTGAAATGGGAGAAGGGAAACCCCTAAAGGGACCAGCGTCCTTGTCAACTATGTCCCTTCCTACACCCTTGACAGTCAGGAGAGGCACAAGGAGGCCCTTAGGAGGACAGGCTGAGGTGCAGGGCAGCGTCCACCATGGCAGTCTCTGGCTCCCACCCCTCAGTCCTCCCAGGAAGGCCAGTCTGAAGGTGCTTCCGCAGGCCTGTCCAGGGGCAGCACCCACCTCCATGCGAGCCTTGTAGAAGTCCACGTCATGCAGCTTCTCCTTGCAGCGGACCAGCTCCATCTCCAGCCTCTCCACGCGGTTCGCCTTCTCCCTCAGCGAGTCCAGCTCGTCCCGGTAAGCACGGGCAGACCGCGCATCAGCCGCCAGCTGGACATTCTGCAAGGAGCACAAGGGCAGAGAGCCAGTTCAGGGTCACCCCCGGACAGGGAAGGGCCAAGTCCCTAAAACGTGGCATGTCCAGAACCCTCCAGGTCCCATGGCAGGGTACCCCACCCCCGTCCACCCAGGACACACGGCCCAGGCCTTCCGCTCACCTCCTGCTTGACCTTCTGCAGCTCCAGCACCAGCTGATCCACCTCATGCCTGGTGTCCACAAGCTGCTCTGTCTTCTCCTCACTGAAGGGGCAGGAGAGGGAGGAGTGTGGGGAAGGGTCTTCCATGGCAGGCCCTGGGAACAGGCTACCACTTCCCAAGACCACGGCAAGAAAACGAGGTGACCCGGACTTCTGGGTGTGGGAAGGGGATCCATCTGCCTATGGGGTCTGCAAAAACGTCCCTGGGTAAAACGGATCTTCTCTTCCAAAGTTTGTAAAGCTTGCCCTCAAATTATATCCATCCCACAGGGTTCCCTGTGAGCATGCAGGACAGGAAAGGAGACCCCAGCCACAGCTGTAGGAGTCCACGAGTGGGCTGTGTGGGGACAGGATGGGAAGGTAGCTCCCTAGACGACGGGTAAATGACACTCATCAGGTGCAGGAAACGGGGAGAACAGGCTTTCCAGATGCAGTTGGGGCCACCATGCGAGGCTCCCCATTGTCACTCCATCCAAGGAAACACACCTACATGATCATCCTGATCCCAACTAGGCCTGGGGACAGCAGTCTACTTCTGACAATCAGCAACCCTTGGGTGGACAGGAGCCACCAGACCAGGAAGAAGTCCCCCTCCATATGGGACTCACAGAGGGCAGATGCTGGGTCCCAGAGTCAGAGAGCAAACCAGAGTGGCCCCCACCAGCCCCAGGGTCACACAGAGCTCTCCGACTCACAGCTCCTGCCTGACACGACGCAGTCGGGCCTTGGTGTCGGCCAGCTCCACAGCCAGGTGCTGCTTGTCCTCACTGGAGAGGCTGCTGGTGGGGCTGGGCGTGGAGTCGGCGCTGGAGGACTTGGCGGGGCTGGGCGGGTGCTGCGCCTGGAGGTAGTCCCGCTCCTGCGTCAGGTCCACGATCAGCTGCAAGGGGAGAGGGCAGACGGAAGGGACGAGTGGCAGCACACCCGGGGCCCAGCACACTGCCCAGGCTCAGAGTGGGTTGAAAAACCACCCTGAGAAGAGAAGCCTTCAGCTGAGACTGCAAAACCAAGAGGCGGACACTGAGAGGACAGTGCAAGTCTTCAAACAGAGCTTAAGTATTTAGTGGGACAGAGAGGAGGGAAGGAGGGTCTGAGTGGAGCAGGGACCTCAAGCTGGGCCTCCTGGTCAGCTTCTGCCCACTCTGTCCCTTTCATCATTCACTGCAGGGTCATCACCAGGAAAAAGTGGGCATCACCCATGTCCCACCCCCAGCAGATCCAGCCAGCAGGACAGGGAGGTGTCCAGCCCTAGATGGAGGAGGAAGGCCAGCCCCGAGCCCATCGCCGGCCGAGCTGTCCCGACAGGCGGACGCACCTCGGTGCTCTCGTCGCGCTCGTCGATGAGCCTGCGCAGGTGGAACACCATGCTCCTGGACAGCGCCTCCAGCTCCTCAGGGGCCACGTCGGGCAGCTCCAGCCACTGCAGGTCGAACACGTTCTCCTGGTTGTGGGTCACCTGCGGGCACACATGTCCAGCACTGCAGAGGCCAGCTCAGGTAGCCCTGGGGTTCCTGAGCTCCTGCCTGCCCACGGCCACACAGTGGACGGCACAGGAGACAGGAGGCTGCTTCACTCCCGCGTTATCAGTCCCTGCGGCGTGGAGAGCAGGGCCCCTTCAGCAAGGCTGGGCCAAGTCATCAGAGGAGCCCGCCACGCACACCACTCTTGCTTTCAGCCTTTTCAAATACCAGAAAGAACCCCTTACGACTGTCCCCCCAGAAGGTCCTGGGATAACAGGATGCTTGCACTGAGGCGAATATCTAGGTACAATGCAGGCAGGCCTCCG